ACATACATGTTGTCTCATGACATTGACCACAATTCACCACAATGCAACAGCTCCCCTCCCACTTCCTCTCGACAGTTACCTCTTCCTTGTGTCCATCCCTCCATGCATCCCCAACCCCTGAGCTGTCTCTCTGTGCATAAACAGCCCTTCTTTCTCCCATGATTGTTCTTTCCAAGGAGTGTATCTAAGAAGGAAGGTAGATTTAAAACTCCCAACTCCAGACACCCTGGGTTCAAATCCAGCTTCTTACCTTACTATTGTGGACTCTGGAAAAGTTCCTTAACCTCTCAGTACTTCCATTTCCTCCTCTTTAAAAGGGGACTAATATGTCCTCTTTGTGTGAGCATCAAATGAGTCGATGTAGGTAAAGTTCTTAGGATAGTGCCTGGCACAGGAGTGTTTATAATTAAAATAAATCAGTATGTTAAAGGTAAACCTACTACATGTTCCAATTAAAGAATTGAGATTCTCAGACTGGTTAAAAATAGAAAATCCAGCGATTTGCCATCTCCAAGTGACACCTCTAACTTATAAGGTGTAGAAAGGTTGAAAGTAAAAGAAAGAAGAAAATACACTGTGTGAACACTAACTGGAGTGGTTCTCTTAATATCAGACATGATTGACTTCAGATCAAAAAACCCTACTCAAGATGAAGATGATCAGCTTTTTAAATTTTAAATCTGTGTATGTCTGTTATAGCATACATTCAAAATATAGAAAAGCAGAAACTGACAGAAGTATGAAAACTGCAAATACATCATAATAGTGGGGAATTTGTAATGCACTTCCCTCAGCAATTGATAAAATAGATTAACAGGAAGTCGGTGAGACTATAGAAGACTTTAAAAACACAATTAATAAAATCAACATACATACCCAACAACAGAACATACATTCTTTTCAAGCACACTTCGAACCTTTCCAAAAATTGATCATATGCTGGTTTCATGAAGCAAGACTCAACAAACATCAAAGGCTAGATATCACTAAGGGTATGTTATCACCCTTAATGAGGATTAAGGTGCACCTGACCTAGACCATGATATTCAGTCACCTAATATGCATTTGAAAGGTGGACAGTGGATAAGGAAGCCTGATGAAGAATGCGTTTGAATTATAGTGTTAGCAAAGAATACTGAATATACCATGGACTGCCAGAAGAATGAACAAATCTGTCTTAGAAGAAGTACAGCCAGAATGCTCCTTAAAAGTGAGGATGGTGAGACTTCATTTCATGTACTTTGGACATGTTCTCAGGAGGAACCAGTCTCTGGAAGGGTGCCTGGTAAAATAGAGGGTCAGTGCAAAAGAGGAAGACTGTCAAGTAGATAGATCAACACAGTGGCTGCAACAATGAGCTCAAACAAACATAGCACCGATTGTGAGAATGATGCAGGACCAGGCGTGCTTCATTCTCTTGTACACAGGGTCAGTATGGGTCGGGACCAATTTGATGGCACCTAACAACAACAACAAATGTTATCTGAACCTTGCTGCTAAGCTAGATACCAAAACAATAATTCAGTGTTGAGAAATGTAGTTTTCTGGTACACCATGCTACCTGCAGCCTGTATGACTATGAGACCAGAAGAACTAGATGGTGCCTGGCTACCATTGTCAACCACTCGGAGGGGGATCTATGGAGGAGATCCTGGATAGAGAGGGAGAACAATGTGGACCAAAACCCAAAATCATTTAGGGAAAAAAAAGGAGGGGGGGGCACCAGGTTTGCTGGTCTGATAGAGCTTGGTGGAACCACTGAGACTATGGCCCCTAGCTGCCCTTCAGGTCTGGAATTTAACCCACACCTGTGGTTTCCAGCCAAACAAAAGACAGGTGTGTAAGTTGAACATTTATCCGAGGTAGATACACTCCTTGGAGAGAACAATCATGGGAACACAGAAGGGCAGTGTATGCACAGGGAGACAGCTCAGGGGGCAGGAGTGCATGGAGGGATGGACACAGGGAAGAGGTAACTATAGGGACAAAGTGGGAGGGGAGCTGTTGCATTGTGGTAAATTGTAGTCAATGTCATGAGACAAAGTGTATGTGAACTACTATTTGGAAAGTGAATTTTGCTCTGTAAATTTTTACCCAAATCACAATTTTTTTAAAAAAATGTAGTTCTAAATAACTGATGGACTAAAGAAAAAATCATACAGAAATTAGAAAACCTGTGGAGCAGAAGTAAACTTTAACAAATGTTCTATAGATCAGTTTCTGAACTCTCACCAATGCTGTGCTTATAAAGGGAGATAGAGAGTTCATGCATATTAGGAGTAAAGAAAGTGAAAACTCACTGAGCAAAGTGTCTGTGTCAAGTAGTTGGAAAAGACACAGCAAATTAAATTGAAGGAAAATACTAAGGGAAAGAGTATAAACTAATTTAAAAAAAAATAACAGAAACAGAGGACTGACACTGACAGATCTGAAAGTTGATTCTTTGAAAAGACTAATAAAATTGATAAACTTCTGGAGAGATTGATCAAGATAGAGGAGAGGGATTGAAGATAATGAATTGAGACAACACCCTGAAGACTTTTGTTGAGGAATAGAGTAGTGGCTGGAAGTAAAGGCAATGGAGTCGAGAAAGTTTTTGTAAAGGTGGACGATAGTACAGTTTGTTGTAGGAACATTTATTCACTTGACAAACATTTATTGAGCATCTACTATTTAACAGGTACTAGGATACATTCTTAACAAAATAAAAACCCCTGCCCTCTATGGGGGAGCTCTGGTGGTGTAGTGCCTAAGGCATTTGACCACTAACCAGAAGGCTGGCTGTTCAAACCCACCAGCCACTCCTCGGAAGGAAGACTAGGCAATCTACTTCTGTAGAGATCCCACCTCAGAAACCTAAGGAGGGGTTGCTATGAGTCGGGACTGACTTGACAGCATTGAGTTTGGTTTTTGGTTTTGAGCTCTCTATGGGCTGAACATTTACATTAAGTAGATACACTCCTTGGAGAGAACAATCATGGGAACACAGAAGGGCAGTGTATGCACAGGGAGACAGCTCGGGAGGCAGGAGTGCATGGGAAGGAAGGACACAGGGAAGAGCTAACTATCGAGAAGCAGTGGGAGGGGAGCTGTTACATCATGGGAAATTTCAGTCAGTGTCAGGAGGCAAAATGTGTATAAACTGCTGTATGGAAAATGAATTTGCTCTGTAAACTTTAACCCAAATCACAATAAAAATTAAAAGAAAAAATCCCTGCCCTCATAGAGCTTTTATTCTAGTAGAAGGAGACAGATGATAAACAGTAAGCATAATAATAAATTATATAATGTTGGAAAGTGGTACATACTATAAAAAAAGAAAGTAGAACTAGATAAGGGGGCTGGGTTTCCTGAAGGCACTAGGGCTCAAATGGAGGTGCTCAGGGAGGAGCTGACAGTGCATCAGTGTTAATGGGTAAGAGACAGCCTATATAGGGTCAAATGCTAGTCAGTGGGTAAAGAGGTGGTGAGGATTTGTGGAAATTCTTGTTATTGCCATATTTTCAGTTAAACCCAGTTTAACATGACTCAAAATACATTTTTTTTTTTTTTGGTTTGTTGTCCTTGTGTTGTGTGATTGGTTTGGATTTTCTTTTGCTGAAGCGCATTGTAGTTGACCACCAAGAGTCATGTGCTGTAACCCTTGAACAATTCTAACGCTGACAGAAGTGTCTTTAAGCTGGAGTAAAGCTAACCCCTAGAGATAACCCCTAAACATGCCTGCAGTGCTTTCCTAGGGACTCCTCCGTCTGGCTGTTGTGGGTTAGCCTCTAAAACATGGTTTCAGGCAGGGTGTGTAATCTTGAAATATGTAGCTCTAAGGCCCTGTTGCCTGCCTGTCATGAATACCAGCCATGGATTTGATTTCATTCTTAATGGTTGAAATGCTGTATAATGAAATTTCCAAAGCAATTAACTGTGCTTCTTCATGAGATAAAACATATTGCCTCCCACAAGACCTAAGATGCCATCTGCAGCTTTGGTTTGCATGAAGAATGTGCACTGGAGATACTTGGGTTTAATTTGCTGTTATCATTTGGGGCATGGGAAAAGGCAGGATCCATTTGTCTCTCACTTGCTGGAGACAAGGGGAGATACTACTCAGAAAAGATGATAGAAATTTAAAAATCAATCTCTGGGTTATACAGATTTTAGTAGCAGAGTTTTTTTTTTTTTTTTTTTTAACTTTTTATTGTGATTTGATGAGAGTTTACAGAGCAAATCGGTTTTCCATTCAACAGTTCATACACATTTTGTTTTGTGAGGTTGATTGCAATTCCCACAGTGTAAACAGCACTCTTCCTACTTCCTCCCTGTTTGCATTCATCCTTCTTTCCCGTCCTTTCTTGCCATCTGAGCTTTATCCCTGGCAGATGCTTTCCTTTTGATTTCATATGGTTGATAGTTCTAAGGAGTCCGTTCCTCCTGGGTGGTGGTGTTCACCTCGTACACCTGTCGGTTGTTTGGCTGAAAGTTGAGCCATGGAAGTGAGTTCATTACAGGCCTGAAGGGTTTCCAAGGGCCATAGTCTTGGTGCTGGGAACAGGGTCCACCAGTCTCTATCTGACCAGCAAACCAGGTCTTTTTATGATTTTGGGTTTTGTTCCACATTTTTCTCCCATTCTATCCAGAACCCCTTTCAGAGCAGTCAGCAGTGGTAGCCAGAAACCATCTAGTTCTTCTGGTCTTGGGATCATAGAGGCTGGGGTTCATGTGGTGTGTGAGTCCATTAGACCAGTTGTTTCCTTGGGTCTTCGATTTTCTTCACTGTTCTCTGCTTTGGACAAGAAGAGACCAATAGTTGCATCTTAGATGCACATGCTTTTTAGGACCCAGTGAAGTAGCAGAATTCTTCTAGGGAATTTTTAGAATGAAGTATTCCCTTCAAATCTACACTTAGATATAATCTTCTCCCACTCCCACTCACATGGTTTCAGAGCAGTAGGGGAATATAATAGACAACATAACCTTTACAGTGCCCTGCTCATCCTTATTTTCAGAGACGCCATAACAAAAATGAAAGATGTCTACCTAAAGAATCCTCAGATGGGAGACCCAGCCAGTTTGGATCACAAATTAACAGAAGTTGGCCAAAATATAGAAAAACTGCGACTAGAGGCCCAGAAATTTGAGGTATGAAAAGCTGTTCTTGAAAAGCTTTCTCTTTTTTTTTGTGGGGAAAAAAAAAGAAATAGGTGCCACTGAGTGTATAATGTAGAACATCACCATTTCTTTCACTAGGAGGGAGAAAACGTGGAAGGTCAGATTGCTTCCCGAGTTTTGGTAAAAGGAAAAATACTGTCATGCATTGAATGTTCTCCTTCTTGGCATATCCCATCTTAAATGTGCCCCTTAAAACTGTTTAAGGGTATATCTGTATACAGAGGTTTATTATTATTATTATTATTATGTAAGGATATCACTTGTTTGCTCTGCTTCATTTCATGTTAATAATAGATATAATCAGAAGTATACCATCCTCCATCATCTCAGTGAATCAAAAAGGGAGTTTAACAAAATCAGTTGAAGTATGTTATTGTCCTTTACCAACACCCATCATCAAAAGGTGATGTATGTAAGAGGCACACTCGGAAGGTGTGCACACAAAGCCTCTTTCTTCCCCCTAAATTTAAAGACTGCAGAGCATGGAAAAATAAGTCAGTAATTCTAATCAGAATTGATTATTTCTAGCAAGGAAGAGTCACACGTAGCTTTTTTTCATTCTTTTTAAAATCTATCAGTAAGTTAGTAAGTTTTGATTGATTGATCTATTAGCAACTAGAAATACTACTTTCTGATTATTTTTATTCTTTTGCCTTCTGCATTAGTTTCCCAAACTGGGTTGCTAAAAGCTACAGAAATTTGTCCTCTCAAAATTCGGGAGGCTCGAAGCGCAGAATCAAGGTGTTAGCAGGGCCTTGCTCTCTCTGGAGGCTCTACAGGATCCTTCCGTGCCTCTTCTAGCTTCTGGTCCATGGCTTGTGGAAACCACTCCAGTCTCTGCCTCTATCTTCACAGGGACATCTTCCCTCTGCTTCTGTTTCTTTGTCTCTGCATCTCTTCTCCTTTTCTTATTAAGGCAACAGTTGTAGTGGATCAGGGCCAACTCTCAGTATGACCTCATGTGAAGTAATTACATCTGCAAAGACGCTCTTTCCTAACAAGGTCACATTCACAGATACTAGGCATTAGGCTTTGCCATATCTTTTGGGGGAGACACAATTCAACCCATAATGTCTGCTTTACATTATTGCAAATGTTGCTGAAGATAATTTCATCCACTTTGTCTGATATACAAGTTTCTCCACTATTAAATAAAAAATGTATAATTCAAAAAAGGTAAAAAGGGAAGTATGGCTTTCAAATTGAGTGCAAGCAATGCCAATTTGACCTCATGGTCATAAAATATTGGAACCAAAAGAGATTAAAAGTGACTTGTCCACAATCATACAGCTGCCCAAGAGTATAACAGAGGCCAGTGTTCTTTCTGCCACATTGTACCCAGTTGCATAAATACAAATTTCACTTCTACTTCTCCAGCATTGCATGAATTTAAGCAGTTGCCTTTGACAAATGCAAATACACCGGAGACTCTGTGCCCATGCAGTCTTTTCACGTTGGTTTAAATGACCTTGAGTCTTTGGATGAGTTCAGGCCACAGTCCTGAATCGTTTTTGTTTTCAGGCCTGGCTAGCTGAAGTTGAAGGCAGGCTCCCTGCGCGAAGTGACCAGGCCCGCCGACAGAGTGGAATGTATGATGCCCAAAACCCGCCATCAGTCAATAACTGCGCCCAGGACCGGGAGAGGTACAGTATCTGTACAACACTGTTTTGCTAGCCTGCCTTCTGGCAAAGGAGTCATTTTGCTTTGTATTTATTCCTAAATTCTGAAATCTGGAAATGAGCAAATACACATGCTCAATACCCAAGTGCCTCTGATGGTTGACTTGTGATTTTAGAATTCAACATGGAACAGTGATCTAACATGCAGAATGGTTTAAGATGCTATTAATTACAACTCGGGGGGTTGCAAGTGCTTTGCTGTTGAACAGACTGCTTTCACGTCCTCACTGAAGTCAGTCGCTATAGTTGCTGTATGTTTTTCTTTCTTGAGCAGCCCGGATGGCAGTTACACAGAGGAGCAAAGTCAGGAGAGTGAGGTGAAGGTGCTGGCCACAGATTTCGATGACGAATTTGATGACGAGGAGCCCCTCCCCGCCATCGGGACTTGTAAAGCTCTCTACACGTTCGAAGGTGACTTCACATCAGCCCTAAGTTCCCTGTTTTTTCAATCAACCAATCCTGAGTCCCTCTTCTGTTTCTGTGATCTGAACTATCTTTTGAAGCTTTCTAAATTTTTCTAAATCTTACTCTCTTTGTTCTAATGATGGCATTGTTATTATTTGGTTGATGGCTGTCTATTTTGACTCATGGTCTGTAGAGTTTAACAATGACCGATGAGCTTAACTGCAGTGCAGAATATGGAATAAAGATTATTTTACCCATCTATTTAATATTTATAGAGCTCCTTTCTTGTAAAGGGGACACAGGTGGAATGGGGTGGCACCCGTGCTTACAGAAATAAAGTAGTTATGCATAGAGGAGAAGGCAGCCTGCAGTATTTTCCAGAAGAGGGGTAGGGTGAGGGAGGAGTTTATAGGGCAACTCCTTAAAGAGGATTAGAAAGCAACGTGGGGTGCAGTATGTCAGCGGGACGCACACTGCCAGAACACGGAAATGAGGAGAGCGGGAGGTTCATTGTGCAGCTTAGATGTGTTAGGTGGTAATAGTGGACTATAAGACTAGACAGAGGGAGATGTCAAAGGTGGGGGGCCTAGGTGGGAGAAACAGGTTTAATTTATCTGGCAAATAGCAAGGAAAGGAGCTGTGGGGAGTATTTGGGCAGGGTGTTGACATAATCAGTGCTGTGCCTTAGATTTATTGTCGTATATTTAGGGTGGATTAAAAAACCATGGTTAGAAAGGTTAGGCTAGTGTTTCCCAAACTGATGACCTTTGAAACAGTGTCCTGCAGATGGTCACTAAGGGTGCTGTAAGAAAGAAACAAAAGCATCCAGAGCTCAGATAAGTTGGGAAAGCCCTGAGATGTTCTTTGTGACAAAACCAGAAAGAGAAATACCTGTTTAAATGTTCGCAGCTTTACTGCACGTCCAAGCCTCCCCCACTCCCACCACCACACCCACTGCCACTGAGTCAACTCTGACTCATAGCAACCCTATAGGACAGAGTAGAACTGCCCCATAGGGTCTCTAAGGCTGTAAATCTTTATGGAAGCACACTGCCTCATCTGTCTCCTACGGAGTGGCTGATGGGTTCAAGTCGCTGACCTTTTCCTTAGCAGCCAAATGCTTTTAACTGCTGTACCACCAGAGCTCCTTCACTCCCCCATAGTACCCCTATTAATAGCTCCTTAAAATATAATTTGTCTTTCAGAATACTAGCTGGGGTGTAGTGGATACTTGAAATTAGCTTAGCAACGGCCATGGGGGTCTTCATTAAGGAGTGGGCACGAGAGAAGCTACAGTGGACAAATTGAGCAGACCTGCAGCGGATTGGAAGTCAGGAGCAAAGAGGGGAGGCAGTCCACGCTGCGTCCCTGGGAGGATGGAGCTGGCCCCTAAAATACGAAATCTGAAGGGGGATCTCGTTTGGGAGAAAATCAGTGAGTTCAGTTTCACCTGCTGAGTTTCAGGGGCAAGGGCAACCTCGTGGAAATGTGCAGCAGGAGGTCGAAAAAGAACCAGAAGTATGAGCAGGAGATACAGGGTTATTGCTTTAAAAGGTGTGATTGAAGGTGTGGGAGTACTTTCTTCCAAAAAGAGAAATCCAGGGGAGGTAGTTAGACTAGAGGAGAAGACCAAAGGCTTATTACCCATTGTTTGCGGGAAGGAGAAGAAAGAGGGCTCTTTGGAGGAATTAGAAAAGAAGCCTTAGAGAGACCTAAAGTAAGAACTTGGAGGTTCCTGTGTAGGAAGAGAGTGCTTGGGGGCAGTGTAAGGGATCAGTGCTAACTGCATGCGTGAAGTCAAAAGGGTGAATTTTTCACGGACCTCACGTGTCATCGCAGAAGTCCCTGTTGGCTCTTTACCTGAATTTAACAGGAATTTCCTCAAATACTCTGACTGTTGCTTTTTTTCAGGTCAGAATGAAGGAACCATCTCTGTAGCTGAAGGTGAAACATTGTATGTTATAGAGGAAGACAAAGGTGATGGGTGGACCCGCATTCGCAGAAATGAAGATGAAGAGGGTTACGTTCCCACTTCATACGTCGAAGTCTATTTGGACAAAAATGCCAAAGGTGCTAAGACTTATATTTAATACCACTTAGAAAAAATTGTTTAAACCATTGGAGTTGTTTCTCCTCACGACCATGACTGTTAGAGGCAGTTCTTCACAAGCCCGGAGGGAAAGCATCACAGTCCGTGTTCTCCTGCACACGCACAGTGCGCGTTCAGGGATCGAACTCCTGAATTTGCTTGGCTCATTTTGACTATTATCAAGTTTCACTTGTTGGGAGGAAGTTTTATGTGGAAAGCTGCCAGCTGCCATTTTACACCTGTGTCATTTGAAATACGATAAATATGTCTTCTTTCGGCAGCATCTGTAGATTAAAAAAAAAAAAAGTCACATTCTAGCTTCTAATCAGTTTTCTGAATTTAAAAGTGCACGCATATCACATCACGGGGCTGCAGAAGACTTTAGGTCCCTTACTCATCTAGTAGCCACCATTAGTGGAACCACATTAGAATGTTACAATTTGTAACTTGATATTAAGTGAACTATGCTAGTTTGTTGAATTTTACATTCATCTTAGAGGAAGTCATAAAATAAAATCTCCCCCTTCTTGAGTAAAGAAAAAAACAGTGGCTGTGGAGCTGACTGCCGTGCATGGCGACCCCGGCCGTGTTCCACGGGGTTTGCAAAGGTTGATTTTCTGCAGAAATAGTTCTCCAGGCCTTTCTTCTGAGTGCCTCTGGGGGCATTTGAATCTGCAGTCTTTAGGTTAGCACTGAGCACATTAACTGTCTGCACCACCCATGGACTCCTCAATTAAAAAAGTAAGAACATTATTATTTCTAAATTCTTACTTCTGAAAATGGTTTACTGAAACACAGTTAGGATCATTGTTTGTTGAGATTATCCTACTCTGTCTTGATCTATGTCAAGCAACCAACTGAATTCTGAAAAAGTATGGTCAAGTAGCCAGTTGATTTTTGCATACCGCCTGATTCATCTTCCCTCCACCAAATTGACCCAGGTGATCAGATGTGTTAATGCCATTTAGATCAGCTTTCGTAAAAGCAGTCCATGTCCACGCCTCAGTTCCCTTTCTTTGTAAGTTCTCCCATTTGAATCTGTTTCTGTGGGAGGTTTTCTGGCAAATGGAGCTGCGTCCAGCTCACACTTCCCCAGGTGCTCTGTAAATAGGACCAAGTTGGGGAGCGGCTCCTTCCACACACAGACACACCACTTTTCAAAGTTGGCAGGCCACAGGGTGTTTAATCATTGGCATCTTTAAGACTCTGAGCTTAAAGTCACTGGAAATTGTTTTAAGCAGCAAGCATAAGTGCTCATGTTTGGAAACACATAATTAACTTTAGCCAGAAAAATTCTCATCCTCTTTAAAGAAATCTGGGCCACATGGGAATATACACAGAAGTTGGTGAGGAAGAAGAAGGCTAGATAGTGAAACTGGTCCCGTGCAGAGACAGGTACGCCCAGTGTTTAATTGTGCCCAGTAATGAGACTTCATACCCAGTCATAGGAACTGGCTACAAGTGGGTCAGAATCAAGGCACTGAATAATTAGAATGTCTTTTTACTTGACTTTGAAAATTATTTAGTCATGGCCTTTCTACTTTTAAATAGGATAATTACCTTCTTGTCTTTACATTATTGGCTCATTTTATAAGTGCAAGACAATTTAAAGCCGATTTTCAAAGCTACAGCAGTTCAACAGGGCATAGAAACTGGCAGGAGTTATAGGTGCTTGTTGCTCTAGATGGTCTGTGTTTGAAGAGTCTAACAGCGAGTTACCTTATATTTCACAAGGGCTACCAAAACGGAATTTAGTAATCTTTACTTAATGAAACTCTGACTTAACACAAAAGCCAAAAAAAAAAAAAAAGCCTTTTAATTTTTAAATAATTATGGATTCTCAGAGGCCCACATACCCTTCACCTCCTAGTTTTTCTCAATGGTTGCAGGTTACATCTTATACATTATAGTGTACTATCAAAGGGAGCTCTGGCGGTGTAGTGTCCAAGGCACTTGGCTGCTAACCAGAAGGCTGGCAGTTCAAACCCACCAGCCACTCCTTGGAAGGAAGGTGGGGCATCCTACTTTCATAGTGATACCACCTTAGAAACCCAAGGAGGGGTTGCTGTGAGTCGGATCGACTCTACAGCAGTGAGTTTGGGGTTTTTATTTGGGGGGGCAGGGGGTTATACTGTCAAAGCCAGGAAATGAACACTGGTCAGCTTGATTTAAAAAAAACAAACAAACAAACAAAAAAAACTACCTCTTTATCTAAATAGATTATTAAAATGTTGTAAAATTTTTGTCCTATTTTGGATTGTTTGCCTCTGCTGACAGTAAAAGTACCATCTTGAGCCCAGACCTCTTCACGGTGGGAATTGCAGTTCTCCTTTTTAAGTACTGAACCAAGAAAATCAGCTGACCATGGACATTTGTTTCAATGAGATCACCAGGGAGGCCTGGTGGTACAGTGCTTAGAACACCCAACTGCTACTCTAAAGGTCTGTGATTCAAATCCACCAGCCCCTCCAAGGAAGAAAGATGAGGCAGTCTGCTTCTATCAAGATTACAGCCTTGGAAATCCTATGGGGCAGTTCTACTCTGTCCTGCAGGGTCACTGGGAGTTGGAATCGTCTCAGAAGCAGTGGGTCTTTTTTGTCTTCTTAAGGAGGTTATGAACTTTAGGCATGTAACCAAATGAATGGGAGACCTAAGATGTTAAATCTGACTTTCCTATCCAATGATGAAGTCATTTCCAGGCTGTTAACTATTGGAGAAAGCCAGCTGAACACTGAAGAAGCCGAAAACAGGACAAGACAAACATTAGCTTTTAAAAGCCTGCCTTGAGAAGTATGGTGTTCTGTGAAGGTGTTTTGTTTGTTTGTTTCTTTGGAGTTGTGCACATTTAATTCTGAAAATAGCTCCATTGGTTTGCATAGGACGTGGAAAAGAGAGCAGACTGTATGCATAAATTTATGGTCGTTCTTTTAAACTGTGTGCCTCAGCCCCTGCAAGTGAATATATGTAATAGTGACTGAACAGTTAAAGACATTTTGTAGTTGCAGTTCCTCTAGTCAATGTTTGAAGTAGTAGCAAAAGTATTGAAACAGTCCCCAAAGCATGGGGAATTTCCATTTCCACCCAGGGCAGTGTCTTTGTTTTCTTCCAACAGTTCTCCAGAAAAATAAACCAAACGAAATCTCGGGTGGTTGATGAAGTTTTCTTCACTGCCTTTAGAGATAGCCTGACTGGTTCACAATGTGTGTGTAGAAACTTGCCTCCCTGCCTTGTCTATAAATCTGTCAGACCTCACCCCAAATAACACCCTTGGCGGGGGAAAGCTGTTGCTTTCTGGGACCCCGGAATTCAAACCAGTTGTTTTGTTTTAAATAATGCCAGTGCACTTTTGGTGTGGTTTCTTAAGATGTGGTTATTTAATAATTGCCAAAATATTTAGACGAGTGTCATTTTCAATTGGTCAACTGGATTGTGACTTCTTTTGTGGTGGTTTTTGTTTCCAATTGTTTTCTGTTAAATAAATCCCCCCACAGAGTATATTTGTATATACTGCAAATTAAAAATTTACCCGATCTAGTTGTTTGAACGTTTGACTCTTTTTATCAGTTTGTTTTATTGGTTATTCTGCTGCCTAATGACCTTTTTGTTTTTGTAACGGCTGGGGAGGCCGCAAGGACTGTTACACTAGCTAGCTCCTCTGCTGCCTGCTCCACCTTGACTTTGTTAGACACTTGGGTTCTGAGTAAGTTTGTTTGAATACAGCCAACGTGACTGTTTCTTTCTGTTCTTATTCTACAAGAAAAGAATGTCTGGTATCTCCTAGTTGTACCCTCATATCTGCCTCTCTAATAAACATTCTATTTTCTCAGTGTTGTGTACTTTAAATGATGTTTCACTTTTCCCAGAAAGCTATTCTGTGTAATATGAGTATTTAACGCTTGCATCTTTAGTAATGGGAACTTCCTAGCCAAATGCTTTTTTATTTTTTTTTAATGGTATCACCTTCCTTGTTTCTTACCCTGTTATATACTGAAGGGCTTTAAAGGTCTGTGTTTCTCTTGTTTCTTTTCTACCTCCTCGAGATGAAGGACTTTCACTGTTTACTGCTGAAGAAATATTGACTGATAAGTGTTCTTTTTCACACAAGATTTAATACTTGACTGCTAGAGAGCCACGCGTTGTGAACTGAGAGCGAATCGGCCCTTTATTTTCCTTCTGGGTGAAAAGGGTGAAGCTGATCGCATCTCGTTCTTTCTCTCAAAACTAAATTTATTTAAAAAATAGTCCGGCTGGTGGTCCTAACCCTGCAGTAGAGCCCAGCCACCGACTGCAGCTGCCATGGTGAAAGTTCCTTATCTCAGAAGGAGCCTGTGGTAACCAATTGCGCTAAAGATGCCCCGCCCCTCCCTCCTCTTCCCCCCTCCTCCCTCCCCGTCCTCCCCTCCTCCAGGGCGGGGCCGTTTGCCGTGAAGCGCAAAAGGCCCGCCTCTAACCTGCTGCCTTCCTGTCTAACACGCAGTTTCTCTTTCTTTTTGTGTTGTAGATTCCTAAAGGTGGCATTCGGGATCCAGAGCCTCCGGGTGAGCCTTCCCGGGAGAAACCACTCGATCTGCTTGTCTCCACAGGCCTCGGCTGCGCCCGTGGGAACAGACTCCCGCTCTGGTCTGGAGCGCAGCACTTGAAACCAGCCTGAAATGACATCCCCGCGCCATTCCGCTGCCTGCCGTTTTCCCTCTGCTTTCAACAGCATGCTGCTTGTGGCTCAGCTATTCCCATGGCCCCGCCTGGCCGCCTCTCTGGGGGACAAGCCGGCCTGACGGGAGTGCTCCCCTCCCCCGCAGCTCTGCACAGGCAAGGGGAGACCACCAGACAAGCCCCCCTCCTTTTCGCTGGTTCCGTGGCCCTCAGTCCACCCGGTGTTGGTCCTGGCCGGTCCTCATTTCACACTGTGCCTTTTGTGAAAATTCTGCCACTGGTCTCCTGAGGAGACCGCCAGAATCTGGATACGGAGGGTCAGACTCAAACCGGGTGCATGAGGCCCTT